GGAGTGGCAGCATATAAGTTCGAATAATAAATAAATAAATAAATAAATATCTGGGAGTTGAAGGCCAAAACATCTGGGGACCCACAGGTTGAGAACCACTGCCTTATAAAGAGTTAAAAGCTCTCCTGGGCACCTTGCTGATAGATACTAGATCTCCTGCTATCCAGAATTTCTGTTTAACCTTCCTTTTGGCTTCTTGTTATTTTAATACTCTGCAAGGGGAATCTATTCTAATATCTTGTTTTCTTACAAATCCATAAGATCTAATTTATTAATTTACTCAGTAGATTTTGATGAGGAGCCTGGTGAAAATCTTTTGATGGTCCAACTGCACATGTCTACCTGTATTTCTATGTTATTTCCTTTGGGGCCTGAACTGATTTGTCAAAGTCCTTTTAAAAATTAAGATTCAATTGAGGCAGACAGTATAATAAAACTGCTTGAATAAAGGAGTAAAATGACAACGAATAATTCACTTTACTAAAGAAGTGTCATAGAAGTGATTCTGACTGGATATGTGAGATCAGGAAGCAATACTTTGGTTATGTTAACAGTAGCTCATTTTTGGATTCTGCTTCCATTTGGCTGCTTCTAATAGATATCAAAGACCCTTCCATTTAAATCTGGGATTTTCTTTACTTTGTGATATTTCCTGGCATGCTCATGGTAAACTATTCTGCTATTATAATGATCAAACATAGTGCTTCATAGTGTTTAAAGTCTATATCACTAGGCAAAGAAAACTTGGAATTTAATATTGGAGAAAATACGCATTATCTTAACATTGCACCATTCTATTTAAAATTAATAATCGCCTTGAAGAAGGACTATTTCTGAACAGTGAATATCAAATTAATCAATGTCTTATCCCAGGAATTTTCAAATTATCTTCTTTGGAGTAATTCAGAATAAAGAGACATCACAACAGACAATCTGCTTGGATGGGGCAGCTTGTTGAACATTGTCAAGTGTTTCCTAAATGTAAATTTGGAAGGTAGCATTGGTGCATATTCCTCAGCACATCCCACCTATCAACAACTTTATTAATAATACAGAGGCACAACTCTGTGTTCCAAATGATTTATTGGAACTTATGTCACAAGTACCACCTGCCAGTAGTAAAGAACTGGTGAAATCATAAACCTGCAAAGATAGTGGAAAATGAACACATAAAAATACTGCAGGACTTTCGAATCCAGACTGACAAAGTTTTGGAACCCAGTACACCAGACATCACGATTGTGGAAAAGAAAAAAGTTTGGATTATTGATGTCACCATACCAGGTGACAGTTGCATTGAGGAAAAGCAACAGGAAAAACTCAGCCATTATCAGGACCTCAAAATTGAACTGCAAAGGCTCTGGCATAAACCAGTACAGGTGGTCCCAGTGGTCATTGGCACACGGGTGCCGTGCCAAAAGATCTCAGCTGGCATTTGGAAACAATACTCATTGACAAATTCACAATCTGTCAATTGCAAAAGGCCACCTTACTTGGATTTGTGCGCATCATTCCAAAATATATCACAGACGCTTGGGAAGTGTTTGACTTGTGATTTTGTGATACAAAATCCAGCATATATATCTCATTTGAGTTGAACATGATTTTACCTTGGTGATTTGGTATATATGTATTTTATCTATATGTATTTTAATCTTGTATTTTTGTATGATGTTTTAACTTGTATTAGTACAATTGAATCCTTGCTGTAAGCCGATCTGAGTTCCTCTATGGAGGTGAGAAGATTGGGATATAAAAGTTTTAAATAAATAAATAAGAAATAAATTTGCTGTGACATACTGTGTTTTTGTGTCAATAATAATAATAATAATAATAATAATAATAATAATAATAATTTATTACTCACCTCTCCTTGCAGCTTGAGGTGGGGTACAACATAAATTAAAACAGCAAAGTGAAACAAAGCACTATTAAAATACATATCTGTCAGGGGTACTTTGAACGTTCTTTTCATGTATGGCTGGGGGTGGACTAAATGACCCATGCTGTCTCCTCCAAATTGTTGATTCTGTATAACAAATACACATAGGTAAAATGCAGCTTAAATTTATCAATAAAATGCAGGTTAACATTCACAAGTTAAAATCGATTGGGTCAGCCTGCTGGAAGAGATATGTCTTGTGTCTTGAATTCTGACAGCTGATTTAGCTGTCAGAGCTCTTTTGGTAGGTCATTCCACGGTTTTGGGATGGTTGATGAAAAGGTCCTCTCGGGGAAGGTTCTTGCTGGTTGAATTATCCCCCCACCCCACCCCCGGAGTGTCAGGGGCAGATAGTATGGGAGAAGACAATCCTGTAGGCAGGCCCATAGCCAGGATTTTGTTTGGGGGGGGGGATGGGCTGAGTCTGAGTGAAAGAGGGTCTACCCTAGCAAACCTTTTGTATCGTTACCCCAATACCCCCATGCATATGGGATATATTGAGCATGGTGATCAGATCATGATATTAATAAACATAACAGTTTAAATAATGTACCAGTAAGGCCTTCTCGCGGACCACCATCAGAATTTCATGCCTGCCTGTAGGTAACCTGGACCCAACCATATAGAACTTCAAAGGGCAAAACCAGACTTTGTACTTTGCCTGGAAACTAATTCACAGCCAGTGGACTGATTTTAATATTTGTGTAAAATGCTCACTACTGGATGTTCCTGTAACTAGTCTGGCTTCCGTATTTTGAACTAATTGGAGTTTCTGAACTTGGTACATATAAAGCACATTGCAGAAGTCCTACCTTGAGGTTACCAGCACAGTCACTACCATCTTTAGGTTCTTGTATTCTAGGAAGGGGTGCAGATGGCACATCTGGTAGTAAACACTCCTCACCCTCACATCTACCTGAGCTAATATTTGAAGAGATGGATCCATGCACACTTCCAAGCTGTGGGCATAGTCTTTCAGGGGGAGTGTAACCCCATACAGGACTGGTTAACAAACCTCCACCGACAATTAGGACCCTTGATGGCAAGCACCTCTGTTTTGTCTGGATTCAGTTAGGAACCTTCTAGGGGCATGGGAATCATGCTTTACAAAACTTCAGTGTCCAAAGGCTCCTTGAGAAATAAATCAGCATGGAAAGAGTTCCCTAGTGATATAGGATACATGCTCATACATAAAATCAAGTTGCCAATCTGTCCTGGATGTCAAAACTGATTCATTTTGCCATTAGGAACACTCGGCCTCAGATTGAACCAAGCAAGCAGCTGGCTTCCTCAGAGCTACTTTTATTAATGAGAAATATTCATTGTGTTGAGGAAAGAGCAGAGCCTATGGAACATGGAAATAGTTGGGTATGGTATAGAAAGATGGTAATGAAACAGCAGTGAATTTTGCCTGTGGTATTGAAGGGCATGGGGATGTACTAGTCTAGGTTTTCCGTTATAGTATACTCATTGGGACATAATACTTGTTTTACAGTGTGGTGTAAAAACACTGTTAACTTATAACAGGGGCGGCTCAACCATTACGCAAAGTAAGCATTTGCGGTATAGTTGATTTTGCCTAGGGGCGCTCTTGAGGCACTCTTGGGGGAAAATAGACCTTGACATATGTGAGTTGTAGTTACTGGGATGTATAGTTCACCTACAATCAAAGAGCATTCTGAACTCCACCAATGATGGAATTGAACCAAATATGGCACACAGAACTCCCACGACAAACACAAATTGGTGGGGGGGGGGGGCAAAATACTGTTTGCTTACCATTGAAAATTACCTAGGGCCACCTCTACTATAAGCAACACAGGCATATAAGTTGACAGTGTTTTTACACCTGTAGCTCAGGCATGAATACCTACATAGAACGATGTCTGCATCATTTAAAGCAGGGGACCTCAAACTTTTTAAACAGATGGCCAGGTCACAATTCATCAAACTGTTGGAGGATTATAATTTGAAAAAAACATGAATGAATTCCTATGCACACTGCACATACCTTATTTGTTGTGCAAAAAACACTTAAAAACAATACAAAATAATTAAAATGAAGAACAATTTCAATAAATATAAACATATTAGTATTTCAATAGGAAGTGTGGACCTGCTTTTGGGTGATGAGATAGGATTGTTGTTGTTGTATGTTTTCAAGTAATTTCAGACTTAGGTTGACCCTGAACGAGGGCTGGGTAAATGACCTTGGAGGGCCATATCCGGCCCCCGGGCCTTAGTTTGAGGACCCCTGATTTAAAGCATGCATGGATCAAAATTGATAGTAAGGTTTGGTTAGATTAAATAAGTGTTGTATTTCTCCAGTACAGACTAAGCATCCCTTATCCAGAATTCTGAAATCCAGAACACTTCAAAATCCATATGGTTGGCTGAGATAGTGACATCTTTGCTTTCTAATGGTTCAGTGCACACACTTTGATTGATTCATGCACAAACCATATAAATAATAATTTTTAAAATGCAGGCTTTGTGTAGAAGAATAATAAAGGATTTTTGTGTTTAGATATCTCCAATATTGTATACATATATGCAAATACAGAAACCAGAAATCCAAAACACTTCTGGTCCCAACCATTTTAGGTAAGGAATACTCAGCCTGTACTACAAAAGAATTATCCCTTTTGCTATGAGACCAAATGATTGTTTACAGATTAGTAAAACACCGTAAGTAATGTATAGTCAAGAACAAGATTGTCGTAAGTGTCCATTTTGAGCAGAAATATTTTTTTCCATTCTTTAGTGCATATTATGTATCTGGGCAATGCATAATGCAGGAGTGGTAACCTCATGAAAAATTGTATTTGTGTTTCTTGCTAAAAGTCACATTTTTTTTCCGTCCATGAGGATTAGAAGCAGCAAGTACATATGTGTGAGGGGGAGAGAGATCAGAATAGTGGTTCATTTACATTGCTAGAAATGTTGCCACTATTTGTGTTGATGAATTGCATTCACTGTTTCCTTTAAATAACAATTACAAACTTTAATGAATGAATTAGCAGTGCCATTAATCTGTTCTAAATGTCTGTCTTCTCAGCTTTTTCATGTGCGTCTGGGGAATATCTAGAAATGAAGAACCAGGTGTGCAGTAAATGTGCTGAAGGCACCTACTCTTTGGGAAGTGGGATCAAATTTGATGAATGGGATGATCTGCCTGCCGGATTCTCCAATGTAGCAACTTATATGGACACAGCCATTGGATCAGTTGAGAGTAAAGCAGATAACTGTGGCAAGTAAGAACCTTCTCGGTTTCTCTTCCTAGTTTGGGGAAGATTAAAACAAATCTATGGTTGTATTGAACATACAATTGTATCTAGATAACCATTATAAACAGAAAGATTCTACATTTATATAATCCCAAAATTTTATTTAAGGATTGAAGAAAGTTGGTTATCATCTTAATATCCCTCAGATCTGACCAGCTGAATATAGCTCTTTTGTTCCTAAGTAAATAGAATAATGAGGATTCTAGATTCACTTGCTCCCCATTAATCCAGGGTGAGTTTTATCATCAGTGCGCTCACTATTAGAGTTCTCCTCACTGCAAATGCTAACAAGAGACATCAATCTACAATTTTCCTGCCTGGAAGTCTCCAGAAACTGCTATTGTTTTATGTGCCTTCTAGTCAATTTCAACTTCTTCTGCATGTTGCGGTGTGCTTTTAAGTAATTTCCAGTTCATGGCAACCTTAAAATAGGGTTTTCTCAGCAATATTTATTCAGAGGTTTGCCTTTGCCGGTGAAATATGTGAATCGCCCAGGATCCCCCAATGGGTTTTCAAGGGCAAGCTGGGATTTGAACCTGGGTGTCTATATTATGCCATGTTAGCTATCATGATATTATAGTGGTTTCTTACCATGATTCATTGCAGGGAAGTTTGCCAGTGCATTCTTCATAGGCTGAGAGCATGTGGTTTGCCCAAGGATACTCCGTAGACTTCTGAAACTGAGTGGTAGATTCAAATTCAGGTTTTCTAAAATTTTAGTCAAAAACTCAAGTCATTAAACTACTCTGGCTGCCACATATCAGTGAATAATTTTCTGTAATTATGAAATTCTAGCTGTCATGAATCTTGCTCTAGAAAAAAACCCAAGAGATTAATGAGAATCTCTCAGCTATCTATCTATCTATCTATCTATCTATCTATCTATCTATCTATCTATCTATTTCTATATAAATAAAAAAGTAATGTTCGTTTGTGGGATTAGCATAACTGAAAAACCATGAAATTTGGACACTATACCCCTAACAGACCAATGAGTGACCATCACTTATAACCTGTCCCCCCCAAAAAGTGGAAAGGACTTAAAAAAAACCCAAAAGCTAAATGACAATATAGGGAAAAAGGGAAGGGAAAAAGGAGAGAAAGAAAGAAAGAAAGAAAGAAAGAAGAGAAAGAAGGAAGAAAAGGAAAAAGGAAAGAGAAAAGGAAGCATGGAAGCAAAGAGCGAAGAAAGGAAGGAGGTAAAGAAGAAAGAAGACAAAGAGGGATGAAAAGAAAAAGGGGGGAAGGAAAGAAAGAGGTAGAGAAGAAAGGAAGAGAAAGTAAGAAAAAAGGAAAGGAAGGAAAGAGGTAGAGAAGGAAGAAAGGAGAGGAAGAGGGAGGGAAGGAAAGAAGGAAAGTCAGAAGTATGGATGGAAGCAAAAAGCGAAGGAAGGAAGGAAAGAGGTAGAGAAGGAAGAAAGGAGAAAAAGGGATGAAAAGAAAAAAGGGGAAGGAAAGAAAGAGGTAGAGAAGGAAGGAAGGAGAGAAGGAAAGAAAAAAAGGGAAGCAAGGAAGGAAAGAGGGAGCGAAGGAAGGAGGGAAAGAAAGAGAGAAAGAGGGAGGGAAGGTTGGCCACAGCAATGTGTGGTGGTTACAGCTAGTATGTGTGTGTGTGTGTGTGTGCGTGTGTGTGTGTGTATATATTCTCCTCTGGTTTTTTAAAATCACCAGCAACATGCTAAATTGGGTTTAAAGGTACCTCAAGGTTCCTGCCATATAAAACAAGGCTTGTTTTTGTTAATTTTTATTTAGGTCTTCATGGACTCCTCGTGGGAATTACATTGAATCAAATAGGGATGACTGCACCGTCTCCTTGATCTACACCGTACACCTGAAGAAGTCTGGTTCTGTCATCTTTGAATACCAGTATATTGACAACAACATCTTCTTTGAGTTTTTTGTAAGGCAAATCTGTGCATTAAATGTACATTAGAACCAAATTGACATCACTGTTCCAAAAAGAGCGAACGTAGCATGTCTTTGAGGCAGTTTATTGGCATTCTGAGTGTCTTTCCTATCACAAGACTTTTGAAAATATGAATTTTCCCTATACTATTGGGACAGTCCATTGATTTTTCCCAACCCAGTACTATCATCTCAGTTTTGACAGCAATCCCCCAAGGTCTCAAATGTTTATAGGTTTTGCTATATTTAATCCTATTCAGCTTCATAAATGAGACATATGCAAAACTTCTAGATAATGAACAGTCAGATCTACAATCAAGTTAAGGCAACTGGCTTAGATTTCAACTTACCAAAGATATATTCACACTTGAGTATAGTAAAGTATAGTAGCTTAATTATAGTAGCTTAATTCAAAGGTAGCTGCCAGAATGTGAGCAGCAGGGCAGAAGTGCCAGGGAGCTCATGGCCAAGCTGGGGTTCCATGAAGGGCCTGGTCATTGTAACTGGCCCCTCTTTATGCCACCCATCAGGTCACAGAGCTCGACAGTGGCTCATTCTAACTGTGGGTAGTTCACAGAGGCGGCCCTAGGTAATTTTCAACGGTAAGCAAATAGTATTTTGCCCCCCCCCCCCACCAATCATTGATATATATTTTCTGTTCGTCATGGGAGTTCTGTGTGCCATATTTGGGTCAATTCCATCATTGGTGGAGTTCAGAATGCTCTTTGATTTTAGGTGAACTATACAACTCGCATATGTCAATGTTTATTTTCCCCCAAGAGCGCTTCAAGAGCGCCCCTGGGCAAAATCAACTATAGTGCGAATGTTTACTTTGCGTAATGGGTTGAGCCGCCACTGGTAGTTCATCATACTCACCCTACCATTACTGTCTTTGTTTTTGTTTCGCTGTCTTTGTTTTGGACTTGTTCACCCACTGCATGCTTTCCTGTATTGCTGCATATCAGATTGGAATGGATAGGTTTCGTAAGTGCTCCTATGCCCCTGGCTGTGTTGAACTGAAGGAGATTAGGTGGGTGGCATCAAAACAATGTGACATTTCAGCGATGTGAGGATTGTTTCTGCATACTTCCCATGAGAGTCAAAGCTGAATTTGGCAGCATAAGAAACAGGGTTCAACCCCATCCTTTAACAGTCCCTATAAGGACCCATCTCTTGACCTGTCCAAGTTTCTGTTCCTGGCACTGCCCTGATATTAGAATTTTTGAAATCAGAGTTGGCATATTCTAGTTGCATACATTGCACAGAACTGTTGTACATTACATATCACAAAAAACGTTGAGTGCCTGGAATCCCTAATGCATGTTATCTTCTGCTATCCCTATGAATGCTGTGTAGGTGGCTGAATAAGAGCCAATGAGATAGGACTTTCATTGGTGACTCAAAATGAATCCATGCTGGAATTTTTTCATCTTGTCCTCACTGACTTTCCTTCTTTATGTAAGGAATGAATCATCATTGCTTGCAGTATGTGAAACCCTGAATGGTTGCTGCCACATTGGACATTGCTCTTAATTAACATTTATGGGCTTTTTGGAGACACTGTGATAATAATAATAATAATAATAATAATAATAATAATAATAATAATAATAATCCTTTATTTGTACCCTGCTACCATCTCCCGAAGGACTTGGTGCGGCTTACACGAGGCCGAGCCCAAAAAACAACAATAAAACAACAACAATAATACAGCAAAATAAAGCAAAAACAAGCAATAATATTAACATGATGATGAGCTGTATTCATCATGAAGCTTTGTAATTGTTTGCAAGGCGTGAAAACGATTATGCTGGCCCACAGTACCTTCCTTCTATTAATTCAATACCATTTATCACATTTTACTAACAGGACAGTCCCTGCTCTAATGGGAAACCAGTTTCATTTCCTCCTCCCCAACAGCCATATTTGCTCGTTGGATTCCTGTGGAGGAAGACACAGGTGATTCTAGTGCAGCGACATGAATTTCCTTTCAGCTGAATATAATTCTTAGATGCATGGCTAGGCACCAATTGATTTTTCTCTCACAGAAAACCAAAAGCATTGGCTGCCTCAGTATTAGGCCCAAAATCACTTCCAGTCTATAATTTACTTGGATCAAAACATCCTTGTCAGCTTTCCCTCCAGACATATTGTTATGACCTCTTAAACACAAACTTGTGCAACGTAGTGGTTTGAATATGATGAGTTAGTGAGTGTTAAGACAGAAAAGCATTTTGAAGTTTGGTGACCAATGCTTGAATGTACCTTTACTAGATTCTTTGGTTTATTAATAGACAATGGGCCACTTTGTATTTGCTGTCTATTGAGTCCCAAGTTAAAATGTTGCCTCAGCCACAAAAAACCTAGGGGAGTTTAGGAAGGCCATGCTGTCTTTAACCTCATCTCCCTCCATAACCACTGTATGCACAAGAACATACCAGTCTCAGCTGATTTTGGAAATTGTTATTACTTGTTTGGGAGATGACCTAGTAACACAAAAGATCTCTAGGTATATTTGGGGTGGCTCAATATAAAGTCAGCTTCCTACGTTCCTAAGTTGCTCATTTGAAAGCGGATGGGCTTTCTATGAATCAATTTCCAGACACCACAGATGCTCCAGGTGTTGGTAGGATAGATCTATATGTACAAAGTTTCAACACATTAGGAAGAACTTCCTGACTGTGAGAGCCGTTCAGCAGTGGAACTCTCCGCCCTGGAGTGTGGTGGAGGCTCCGTCTTTGGAAGCTTTTAAACAGAGGCTGGATGGCCTTCTGTCAGGGGTGCTTTGAATGCAATATTCCTGCTTCTTGACAGGGGGTTGGACTGGATGGCCCATGAGGTCTCTTCCAACTCTAGGATTCTATGATTCTAACACCATTTCAGTCAGCTTCTCTGTGGCCACCTTCTTTTTGACTCTGGATGGTCCTGCAGTTGACCAGAATAAATACTGACTTCACTTGCTTAACACCCACTCCCATCACTTCTGGAGTTGCTGTCTTCCTCCTCCTCACACTTAACTGATTTCTTATTAAGTGTGAATATTTTTTGAAAAAAAAAATCAGGTATTTGGGAAATGCTGGTCATTTAGGTTCACTCCTACTTTCAACCCTCTATGAGCTCTACTTAGTGGGTTCAGGGGTTATTTCTCCAAGCTCAGACCCACATCATTCCCTCTATTAGTCTGAAAAAAACTCAAAAGTTACTTATTGCTTGTTGAGTTGTTTTGGGAAAAACAAGTCTCTGTATGGGTGCAAAGTGACTAGCATGCCTTATTTTAATAGCTCCTAGAATCATAGAATCAAAGAGTTGGAAGAGACCTCATGGGCCATCCAGTCCAACCCCCTGCCAAGAAGTGGGAATATTGCATTTAAATCACCCCTGACAGATGGCCATCCAGCCTCTGTTTAAAAGCCTCCAAAGAAGGAGCCTCCACCACACTCTTGTAGTTTGAAGCTATTGTTCCACGCCCTAGTCTCCAGGGAAGCAGAAAACAAGCTTGCTCCCTCCTCCCTGTGACTTCCTCTCACATATTTATACATGGCTATCATATCTCCTCTCAGCCTTCTCTTCTTCAGGCTAAACTTGCCCAGCGCCTTAAGCCACTCCTCATAGGGCTTGTTCTCCAGACCCTTGATCATTTTAGTCACCCTCCTCCTGGGGTAGACTTTAAAAAATTTCAACATCTGTCAACACATGTACCTCATAAGATTATTGCATGATAAAGCATGCTAAGTATCTTAATCACTTAAAAGTTTGTACAGTGTCATGGTAACAAGAAACTGTCAAATCGATCCTGGAGGCTGTAGAATAAATAATTGTAGTTTCCTTGTTGCGAGCTTCTCTGTCTGGAAGGACTCGCTTGCTCTAAATCAGGTTTTTTTTTTCTAACAAGGTTTCTCCTCCATTAGGTTGGGACAAAAAGGGGTACTTCATGAAGAAGTCGTTCCCTTTTTACATAGTTGAGTGACTAAGCAGTGCCTGCATGATAACTGGAATGTAGTAATAGATGGCTGAACATTATACATTTGCATACATGTATATAAATTATGTGTTTCTACATTTGTTTAAAAATAAATTGGTTACATTTCAGAATGAGGCAATGTCTTAAGTCAACATTTATGGGATGCAATCTATTATTGATTGGCACATTTAAACCTAAAAAAATCAACTTGTATCTGAAAGTGCTGACAATCAACAAAAGTGAACTTTCTTTCCATAAATTGCAAAAAACATATGCTTTGGATATAAAACTTTATCCAATAAAGTCCTCAACCCCAAGAAATGTAATATTTAAATTTTAGTGGCTTCTATGTTTTCAGATAATACATCAGTTTTCAGATAACGCCTTAGTCACTTCCAGATTGGACTACTGTAATGCGCTCTACGTGGGGCTGCCCTTGAAAACAGCCCGGAAATTTCAATTGGTCCAATGGGCGGTGGCCAGATTGTTAACGGGTGCTCCTTACAGAGAGAGGTCAACCCTCCTGTTTAAGGAGCTCCACTGGCTTCCATTCATTTTCCGGTCCCAATTCAAGGTGCAGGTGCTTACCTACAAAGCCCTAAACAGTTTGGGACCCGCCTACCTGCGTGACCCATCTCTGTGTACGAACCCACACAATCTCTTTGTTTATCTGGAGAGGCCCTGCTCATGATCCCACCTGCATCGCAAGCGCGATTGGTGGGGACGAGGGATAGGGCTTTCTCTGTGGTGGCCCCTCGACTCTGGAACTCTCTCCCTAAGGCCATCAGGCAGGCCCCAATCTTTAGGAGGAGCTTGAAAACGTGGTTGTTCCAGTGTGCCTTTCCAGAATAAGGAAACTCCTAGCATTATGTCCCAACACACTTTATCAGAGATCTAGGATATTTGCATGCCCATCCCCCTCCAAACACCCCACCTTGTCATGCCCAGCACTTTTTAATTTTAATTATTACATTTGGCCCGGCCATTGTTTTTAATTGTGTCATTAGATGTTGTTAATGTTATTACTTTGTTTT